ACACACACACACACACACACACACTACACACACACACACTCACACATACACACACACTGTGTGTAGTCTGTAAATAACCATCCTCTCTTTTCACCCCTCAGGTGGTATTGTGTGACACCCCCAAAGACATGGAAGACTACATTGAGCCGGCACAGCTCACTTCTGATGTTGGTGGAGAGCTGGAGTTCGATTCTAATGAATGGACTGAACACAGATCTGTAAGTTGGTCAGGCCCTGGTACACAATGTAGTTGTTTCTTTCGTTCTTCATTTTGATTTTTACAGAGGCTGCAAGTTTTCATAAATATAGGTGGGTGGTTGGAGGGATCCACTTGTTAGTTCTGCCACTTTACTCTTCCTTAATTTTGCTTTGTCTGTCAGTTTTGTTTTTTACCCCAGCACATAATGATCGTTATTATATTGATGTACTTGTCTTTACTCAGAGAATCTCAAACGTAGTTGTGTTATCAGTGAAATGATGTATTAAATGGAGCACAATGGTAAAGAAGCACGAACCGATAGAAACCGGAATTCATTTATGCCTACCTCATAGGTCTTATTGCAAACATTCACATTTTGAAAAAAAAAGAAAAGAAAATGTATGCATGTTTGCTTTAACCCAGAAATGAGCCACATGCTTTGACAGGAAGAGTAAGCAATCTATCACCATACTTCTAAATCAATAACTATGGAGTGGCACATGTTAGCTCAGTTGATATCCTGTTGGAACTTACAGCAGATGGCTTTGGTTAGAATCTCCACGGGTTGTTCTGAATTTGAGTTGCTTTTGGGAGCTTTCAAGATTCTCCTCTCATAATTTTGTTCCACCATTTTGGAGAAAAACGTTAAATTCGCAGAATTTGCCTCTTAAAAAACTTACAGTCTTGATGTCTACAATGGCCACTGAGTTATGATTCTATGATATTGTTCCCTTGAGGATTATAGTGACCATGTTGATGATTTTACTGTTGTGATTTCTCTTTCCAGGCGGTTGAAAAGTTCTCCAAGAACACTGCTCAGATCTCTACCAGTTTGTCTGCAGTGGTGAAGAAAATGGAGGAGAGGGAATTGCCAAATGATGTAACAGGTACTGTCACATTGTAGGCCTACTGTGAACAATAATAGAGAAGTGATGTCTCACTTGCTTGTGTGATTTTGTTGAAATGCATAATAATGATGATGATGAGGATGATGATGATTATAGTAATAATGATGATAATGATAATAATACTACTACTACTACTACTACTACTACTACTACTACTAATAATAATAATGATAAAAATAGTAATAGTAAATAGTGGTAATAAAAATGATATTGATAAGGATGATAATATAAATGTTATCAGGATAATGGTACTACTACTACTACCACTACCACTGCCACTGCCACAACCACTATACCACTACGAACAATACAATTATAGTTATGATAATAATAAGCAAAAATGATGGCAATGGAGTGAAAACCCCAGGGATTGAAGATTCAATCACAATTTACACATTTTGAAATACAACACTCTAATAGTAATCAGACCTGCATAGACACTAGCACTCTTAATGGGCTTATGGGTTTGCCTTTGATGGGTTATGCTTTTTATGGTCGCACCGTTGATTTTGTCATGTTAATTTTGCTTTATCTCGACCCTAGAATAAAATATGATAGCTGTCCTGTAAATTACAGTAAATATGGTGCTTGTCAACTCAACACACTTGTAGTCGGAGCAGGGTGCTATTGGTAGGACCTACTTTTTTCTTTATCTCTTATTATTTCTGTCTACCTTGCTCTTTTTCCCAGCTCTAAATGACTGTTATATAAATTGTATAGATATTATTCTCCTTTTTACTCAAACTTTTGTCAAAAACTCACTCAAAATTCCAGTCATTGCAAGTCACAATTCTTTATAGACCGAAATGCGTTTCTACAACCATTGCTTGTGGTATTCTTAATTTTGAATAAGTTTCTTACAGCTGTATCAATTCATTCATCAGTAAATATATCATTGTATCTTGTCCTGTTCCAGGGACGGAGGCCATGCTGCGTGTATGTCTGGCCGAGCGGAAGGAGCTGTTGGAGGACATCGACAGTGCCTGTACCCACGGTGAAACCCTGCTGGGATGTATCAAGGGAGAGAATACTAGCACACCTCTCACAAAGTTGTGTCATGTCCTTGAGCTCGAGAGGTGAGTGACAGAATTGTGTCCCTTTTTTTCAGAAGGTTGTGTTTTGGTTTTTTGAATTCTTTACTTTTCAGATTTTAAATTTTACTTTTCAACTGTGCAATTCTTTACTTTTCAGCTTTGAAACCCTATTTGTGAGGGTTTTGCTGTTGTTGGGATTTAGTTTAATTCTTTCCTATTTCTTTCTCACAGTTTCAATGCTGTTTATTGTTGATTCATTTTGCTTAAATGTCCTTTATAAACAATTGAATACATTGTTTCTTAGTGACCCTGGCCAATGGTCAATGAGGATAAACAAACACCATAAACAACTCAGTACGTTCAGGGTATGATTGGTACTCTACAAATAGATCGGCCTATTTAATTTTGTCCTCGGGGTGGGGGCTGTTCAATTGATTTGTTGAAAGTTGGATTGAGAAGAGCCAGTGTCCTTTGGTTTAAGACTGTAGGGCCTAAGTTAATGATTTTAAAGCACAACTGAATTTTAAAAAATGGCTTAAACTTTGTGTGAATAATGATTTTTTTAACACCAACAAATGACATGGAGATTCAAAATTGAATGTAAATTAATTAAATGATGTAAAAATAGTTCCTTCGTAATTTTTTTGTAACTACGTCTCGCAGATTTGACATGGTTTTTGGCTTGTTGTTTTTTTTTTTATTGCTCTTTAATTTTTTGCCTTGAATAATAATTTGATTCCCTTTCTAATGAGGCATAAAACTCTTTTATAGCTTTATTTGAAAAAAGCTAATAGCTGAGTTTGAAAGGGACTCTCCGCTCCATTTTGACTACTCAACATTATTAAATTGATGTAGTTTTGCATTTCTTCCATGATGCAACTAATGCATGTTTTAAAGATGTTTTAATCTAAAATCTTGCTGTAGCTTTTTATTTGGACTTGATCCCACTCACTCTGGGCTAATGTAGCCTACATTCCACCCATCAAACAATATTCCCCTTGGTTGCAACAGTAGATTGATTGCCTCCCTTGAATGTTTTATACAGACTACATGTAATGCAAAGAGTTTAATGTTGTATTGGTTGCTTCCCTTGATCAAGGTAAATCGTATTCTTCGTGTGCAAAGTCACACACTTTCACATGTTACACTGAGACTTATTAGTTTACTCGCTTTGACAAACACTTTTTTATTAATTAATCTACACAGCCATATTATTTGTGGTTGTCGTTGTTTTGTTATTCTTTTTTTTTTATTGTTGTTGTTGCTGCTTTTCTGGTTCTTTAGTTGTTCCTTAGTTGTTATTATTGTTTCTGTTGCGCTGGAGTCCATGACGATGGCTCCATTTTAATAGAGAGAAAGCATCTAGATCTGTCTTATTTTTGTCCAGCACTAAATGGCTTTTGTTGTGTATGTGTAGGCTACCTGTCGTTTCTCAACACAACGTTATGTAAGCACACTCGGAATTGTCCAAGACAGACACCCATTGTCGAGGAGAAAAGTGAATGTGCTAGACAGGTGGATGTCTTTTTAGAGAGTGTCATTGTAATTATAGTCCTACATAAATATATAACGTGCTGGTGTTTATCCTGGACAGTTTACGCCATCAAAGCAGGTTTTATTGTATTTTCTGCTTTCCACCTCTATTGCGGCGAACAAAAGTAAACTTATTAATGCTGTTTTATTTTACAAATTTTAAGGTTATTGGTTCAGCTGGAAGAAAGCCGCACAGGGTTTGGTGAGTTCTGGCAGCGGCAGGAGACCAAGCTACAGCAGTGTCTCACAGCGCGCAAGTTTGAGGATGAGTTCAAGCTGGTGAGTGTAAGGATGAGTCAAAGAACTAAGAACAAAGCAGTAGTTCCTCCGCAGCGGTGAAGAGTTTAATCATTATACCAAAGATGCCCATAAATTATTAACTTATGCTAAAGATGATTACGCTATGAAGGAAGAGGTAGACCACGCAAAAGATGGATTGAGGGAGTCAAGGAAATCTTGATATATTATCCCAATTGAAAGAGCTGCAGAGCTGGCCCACCATAGAAAACTGCTTCTCCCCTCGACATTTAACGGCTACAGAGGATGAAACGGCTACAGAGGATGAAAAATAAAAAGTAGAAGTAAAGCAAACGATAAGGCATACCACTTGTTGTATGCAGCCTGTCTCACCTAAAGAGGTATGCATCTATGGCGTGATGTTTGACCATCTGCACCTTAACGAATGGGAACTTTTTTGCCTTGACCAAATTGGCCAGGACACAGTGGAATTAGGCGCTCGTCAATTTTTGGGCATGTGGAGCCATTGGTATAATCCTGAAGCTTGTTCACTATTTTGTTTACTTGTCTTACTCTTGATGATGAAATTATCCTTCCATCTTGAATGGTAGTCGAGACATTTACAATTTAAGGAGGTGGGGGTCGGCTTGTGTCTGAGGCAAAATTAGAGAGAAAATGGCCAGCTTGAGTTTTCGTGAAAAGTGCAAATTTAGATGGGTTTTTGTGAGTTTGATCAATATTTGTCAGTAAAATCAGCACAGAAATATACTTTTGAATGGACATAAAAGGTATTGAACCACAGTAAAACTAAACTGAACAAAAATGTGCGCAAATGGTCAACAAAATATGGCAGTTTCTTTGATTTCATTATTTTGATACGCCCATAATTTCACACTGATGCCACGACACATTGTGTCCTCAGAGCCAGTTCACTATGGAGCGTCGGCTGGAGAAGATGCAGGAACTGATGACAGAGTTTGGTGACTCGGTGGCTCATGTGCAGACCCTACAACAGGATTTCGAATCTCTAGAGGAAGATTCTCAGGTAAGAAAAAGAGAAAGAAAGAAAGAAAAAAAGAAAGAAAAAGAAAGAAAGAAGGAGAGAAAAGAAGAAAGGACGAAAGAAAGAAAGAAAGAAAGAAAGAAAGAAAGAAAGAAAGATCTCGAATGCGAGACAATTTTCCCTAATGTAAGCCTATTAGTTGCATTTTCTTGTTTTTTTATGTTGTGGACACCCTTTTGGCGTGGGTAGTTGAAGGGCACCACTTGGTAGGTCCTACTACTTCTTTTCTTTCCATCTGTTGTTTCTGTTGGTCTATCCTACTTTTTCTTAGCACTAAGTGATTATCATCACATCGATGTACTAAAACTGAGCTCTCTATACATGTGTGGGTCTGTTTGTTTGTTGGTTGCTGTTTTTTTTGGTTTTTTTTGGGGGTGGGGTTGCTTTTTTTGTGTGCAAAATTTGGAAGTAAATAATGTTGTCAAAATAACCTTCATATATTGACTTGCTGCAGCTCAAAATGGCTAGCATCCTTGAGGTGTATCGCAAAAAATTGGCTGAGAAAGAAAACAGTACTTGTAGACATCCAACAATTCCTGGAGAAGATTAAAGATTTCACAATGTCAGTGGCATGAATCTCAGTGCTTTATATATAGATGTACCGGTTACCTAATTTCTCATACTTTCCTTGGTCTTATGCCCCTCCCTCTGTCTATTTGAATGTTTTATGAGAGAGAGAGAGAGAGAGAGAGAGAGAGAGAGAGAGAGAGAGAGAGAGAGAGAGAGAGAGAGAGAGAGAGAGAGAGAGAATGTGTGTGTTGTGCGTAGCCTATGTGTGTGTGAGTGTGTGTGTGTGTGTGTGTGTGTGTGTGTGTGTGTGTGTGTGTGTGTGTGTATGTTGTCTGTCTGTCTGTCTGTCTGTTTGTCTGTCTCATAAGACAATATTATTCCTATTTACGCTCATCTCTTGGTCCACAACTCGCTCCCACAGAAAAGTCGTGAGTTTGATTCTCCTTTCGACTTTTCCCCCGATAACTGTTGACACGTCAATATTATCGATGACGTATTGCGCAGATTGTGATGTTTGGAGTTTCGTCCATTCTCCACACACGAGATGGTGCCGAAATTCTACTGCACTTGGGGTCATATTTACTCGCCCTTCAGTTCACTGCTGGCCATTCGACTCCTGACCCATGAAGCAATCTGACGCCGTAGAAAAATAGTTTCTCATAGCTAGAGTATCCGCGCTCGAAATGACCGGGACTGCCTTGTTGCAGGGCGTTATTATTGTCATTATACAGACGCGCAAAGGGATGGGAGTAACACCATTGTTGTATTTGTGAAAAGTTATTAATAACATTATGGAAATCGTGTTTGTATTCTCTTTGCGGAGACGTCTCCATCTACATTTGCACAGTAAAGATGCTCATTCAAGAGATTTAAACAAAGCTATATCGTTCCCTTTACCACCCTCTCTTACCTCCTATCCCCAACACTCCCCCCCCCCCCCGAACGAACAAGCAACTGTGCAAATCGTGATTGCATCTTCTAAAATTTCCTTGTTTGGTCAGAAGAAGAAAAAACTCGGAAGTGAATCTGTTATTTTGGAAAACGCAAACAAGGACATACGTACCTAGCTTTAGCAGTGAAGAGGTTCACAACGAAATGGACATAGCGCCGTTGTATCTGTACAGACATATAAAAAAATCAGTGGAAATGCTATTATTATATCTGCATAGAGCTATAAATAAAGTTATGGACACAATGTCATTGTATTTGTACAGAGATAATGTAAAGATGTGGACACAACGCCATTGCCCTGTGATTTGAGATATCGTGATATAATGTTGCCCACAGAAGCACAGCGCTCAGAAAGCGATGATTTTTGCACTGTGTGATTGTGATTTAGTTCTCATAGTTTAGCGGGTGGTTTTAGGACACTACTGGGAGGTCCTATTTCTTAACTGTCTCTCTGTTGTTTCTGTCTGTTTGTCTTACTTCTTTCTCAGCACTGAGTGACCATTATTGTGTCGATGTGCGTCTCTTTGCTCAAAGAAACAAAACAGTCTCCATCATGTATTGTTTTAGTGTTGACCATCTTTATGGGTGCAGTTGGGTCGTTATAAAAGTGAAATATAAAATAAGATAACACACAAAAAGTACAGGGGGGGGGGGGGGGGTGGAGGGTGGTGGCATTTGTTTGTCACAATTTCCCCATTTTCGTCCTTGTCTGTCGCGATCGATTGCTCAGCTTGTTCCATTTGGTCCACCAATATAGCATTTTATGGAGTGGAAAGGCTATCAGTCTGACACTGCTGACGTAGATGAAACAGCTGTAGAGAGAAAGAATGATAGTAATACTACATTGCTAGAAAGGCATTAGACCTCAATAGTTTGCCTTTGACGACTGTCCCCCCACCCCGTTAAAAAAACCATTTCCACCCGTCCCCAGCAGTTGTCATAAATTATTTTTATTATGTTTTACCGACCGTACGTTGAAGGAAATCCAATGTTTGCTTTCACCGGATATTATAGCGTCTTATCTACGGGACAGAATGAGATCATAGCTAGCGTCTTGTCAACGTAAAAGATAAACACCCAGCAATATTATCAACCTAAAAGAAAAACACATAGTAACATAGTGACATTTTCTTAAAATATCAATCTAAAAGGTAGACACCCAGTAACATATCAACAGAAAAGATAATCATGTGGTAACATAATAACTTGAAGAATATACATCTAGCAATATATTATTAACATGAGAAATAAACACGTACCAACATCAACGTAAAAGATAAACACCTAGCAACAGATTAACAGAAAAGATAAACGTCTAGCTACAGGTCAATGTAAAAGATAAACACCCTGCAACATATCAGCGTAAAGGAAATTCCAATTAATCCATCCTTGGAAAGAAGTATAAGCCATTATCTTTAGTTGACTTTGACTAGCCTACTTTGAGCGGAAATTTGAAAAAAAGACTGGCTTGCCTTGGTATTGTTTGAGGCCAGTGACCTCCCAGGCACGGGCTTCACTTTGGTGTTTCTCATTACTCTTGTCCGAGCCGTTTACTTTCACAGTTTGAGGTCCGTGACTCTGAGGATATCAGTCGTCCACTAGTCATGCTGCCCACAAGGACGCGGCCTCCCTTGTGTTACTTGACTTTTCTGTGTTTTTGTTGAATTGTTACGTCGTATTGCGAACATTTGGTTGCCACACCCGCCCACGGGAACGTCCATCCTTCTTTCCTGTCTGTCTGTCTGTCTGTCTGTCTGTCTGTCTGTCTGTCTATCTGTCTGTCTGTCTGTCTGTCTGTCTGTCTGTCTGTCTGTCCGTCCCCCTCTCTCTCTCTCTTTCTCTCTCTCTCTCTCTCTCTCTCTCTCTCTCTCTCTCTCTCTCTCTCTTTCTCTCTTTCGTGATGTCTGTACGTGTGTATGTGTATGTATTTGTGTATGTGTATGTATTTGTGTGTGTGTGTGTGTGTGTGTGTGTGTGTGTGTGTGTGTGTGTGTGTGTGTGTGTGTGTTTGTGTACAGGTGAGCGCGTGTATATGTGTGTGTGTGTGTGCTCGCGCACTTGCACACACGTGCACTTTTAAAGTTGTTTAATATTGATGATGATGATGATGATGATGATAAGAACAGTAATAATATAAATGATAATAATAATAATAGTAATCATAATAATAATAGTCATCATCATTCATCACCATCATCATCGTGTGTGACAAGTGACATTTATTTTTACGTAGTGTGAACATACGGGGGTTGTGACCTCTGATCAAGCACGCGGAAGTTTGCAGTTCAAGTCCCAGTGGGATCCGGAGTAGTTTTTTTTTCTCTTGTCCTTCCTGGAATGTTGCCCAGTAGCACTTTTCCTTGCCAGGGGAAACCCGGGTACTCTGCCATTGAAATGACATAATTTGCGTCGGGGAAGGGGGGAGAGGGGTGGCCGAGGGGACCGCTTAATTGCAATAACAGTTACAGGGAAAACAGCAACAAGGACATAATATCGTAGCTAAGCGTGAGCGGGGAGAGGGGGGTGGGATTGTGGTTATCTGATGAATTAATGGATATTATTGTGATAGGAAGAGAGGTCGAGACAGAAGAAGGGTGAGAGAAGGCGAGTGAGAGAGGGAGGGAGGGAAGATATGTATATATATATAAAGATAGATAGATAGATAGATAGATAGATAGATAGATAGATAGATAGATAGATAGACAGATAGATAGATAGATAGAGAGAGAGAGAGAGAGAGAGAGAGAGAGAGAGAGAGAGAGAGAGAGAGAGAGAGAGAGAGAGAGAGTCTTACTTTTCCCAGTCACTATGACCGTTGTTGTGTCCGTGTGCTTCTCTTTGCTCAAGCTCAAACTGTAAGGTGTAATTGTCAGACTTTTCACCCTTGTGTGCAGATCGAAGACGTGAATTCGATTTTCGTTTTCATTTCATCTTGAATGTAGGAGTTTGCTGCATTTAGCCATGAGGCCCAGTTCTCACAGCGTTGCAGGTTTACCACCGTTTCCAAATCTAGAAATTTTGGCTTGAAAAAATGTAGACGTTTTTATCTTTCCTCCTAACCTCATAGACACAATTTTGATTTTTGAGAGAGCAACCTGTTAGAGCGCAACCAAGCTAAAAGGGATACGACGTCCCAGTAGAAAGACCAAAAATACCTGATAGAAATTCTCCCCACGCTGGAATGGAACTAAGGTCTTATGCATGCAACGGCGAATTGCCTAAACGGTGAGCCACAGACACCGATTCGATGAAGGTGTTATACAATCTTTCTTTTAAAAAATAATAAAATATGTAGAATCATGCCCCTCCTGTCTTCTCTCTGATTCTGTGGATGGACCCACCACCACCTCCCTCATGCAGACAGAAGGATCAACATTTGTCGGCAAAGTTTCACGTGTTGACGCTAAGCGGTTGCTTGTGTGTCCACCTCTGACGTCATGGGACGGGCAGCGACGGACTCTGGGTACGAGTACATAGACCTGGGGACTTGTGACAGCAACACTTGATTCACCACGTCCTTT